GAACATGTACTCTACTTGCATAGTCCAGGTAAATAAATGCCAAATAATTTTGCTTGGTTGGTTGGAGGAGCACTTTAATTAAAAATCTGCTCCAAATTGTCCCATACAGATTTGAAAGCTTCTGTTCACCTCACAAAAAAAATCTGATATTGAACTTTCAACTGCTATAGTAACCATGAAGCAAAAGCTATATTTGTATTTTGGAAATGAAAGCTATATTTATATTTCTGAAAATCATTATTTAAAATATGTTCTATTATGTTCAGAGTGTCATTCTGAAACTGCAATTGTGGGCTGCAATTCAAGTATCTCCTATCTCCTATCTCCTATCTCCTGTTCCAGGTGTACCTTCAATAATGGCTTATTAGTGAATTATATTTATAAAATGGCATTCAGAAAGAGAGGGGTACTTCTGTTTGAATGAGGAAAACACATTCTCTGCAATATACAGTTATTTTAGTAATTTATTTCTGGTGGCTAATAGTATTATGTGCAGTGCTTAGGAAACATGTATAAAAGAGTTACTAATACATTCTTAAATCAATTTCTGATAATAAATTAAGGAATGCACAAATGAATTAATAAATGATCAAGAGGCATGGGAAGGATTCCTGAATTGTAATTCTGTGGGGAAATGGTCCTTTGATAACCTTCCTATGAGACTGGACAAAATTGAGGAAAGACATTGTAATGCCTCAAATAAGATGGAATTGGAACTGTAAAGGAAACTGAAGAAATACAGGTAGTCCTCGCTTAGTGACCACAATTGAGATCGCCAACTCCATCACTAAGTGCTGTGGTTGTTACAGGGAAAATCATGTGACTGCGACAGACTTACAACATCACTTCCCATTTGGTCATTAAGTGAAACATCACATGATTGCAACTTGTGATTTTACTTCTGTGTTCTCCATTAACTCTGCTTGTCACAAGCCAGTTAGCAAGCATGCAAATTGGGATTGTGTGACCACAGGATGCTGCAATGGTTGTAAATGTGCATCAGTTGCAAAGTGCCCAAATGGCAATCATGTGACCATGGGATGCTACAACAGTAGTAAATGTGAGGATTGGTTGCACAGCTGTTTTTTTTTTTATACCATTCTAACTTCAAACAATCGCTAAACGAAGCAGTCAGTAAGTGAGGACTACCTGTAATCCAGAAAAAAGATTAAAAGGAAAAATGGACTCTGAAAAGAACTTTGCATTAGATTGTTTTAGGAATATCCATCCCTAAAGATTGGATTACAATCATTTTTATTTTTCACTGTTGATTTATGTTGGCTGAGGATGATGAGGATGAGAAATGCTGCTTTACCAGGCAGTTCATTTCATCATCGCGAAAATAAGACTAATGCTGAACTAACTTCTTAACCTGAGCATTTTGGGATTAAACCCAAATTATCTTCATTATCATTATGATGATAAGTCACAAAATCCTAGAGGAGGAGACACCATTTAGGCTACCAAATCCACCCTCCTTCTCAGTGCAGGGGCCTCGCTTAAAGTATCTCTGATAGATGACTGTCTAGCTTCTGTCTGAATATATCCAGTGAAGGGGAGCCCATCACTGTATCTACAACTGATTCCACCATTGAATTGCTCTTACTGTTAGGAAAATTCTTCTAACACTTAACCAGAATCTACCTTCCTGTAAATTTCTTGTTCAGCTCTCTAGAACAGTGATTCTCAACCTTGGCAGCTTGAAGTTATGTGGATTTCAACTCCCAGAATTCCCCAGCC